TGAGGTCAACATATATCGATAGTGGGAAATCAATAAATGTCTACCACCAATACATCTTGCATGTATGAAATAATGAAAGCTGTGTAAACTTATTGTTCTATTTACCAAATAATTACATTATAAAACTAAATACGTATATGCAGATGGAAACTAAATATGTATATGGTAACTAAACAAAATTTCTGAAGCCTTACCATTCAGGAGATATGGGTGGAGGCAACATTTACGTAGCTCCATCATGGTGTTCATCAGACTTGGTACATTAGCATAAGTTGCACCTTTCACAAGGAAATCAAAATTCCTCTCAAGAATAGCTCTATAATATTTCTTCTGTATATTTGTCAATTCAACCTGTAAAATAAGAGATATTCAGTTACTACTTTGCTATGCATTGCAAAATAAGATATACACTTCACATGTTTTTATTATAATATCCATAAAACATTAATTATTACAACAGTAAAATGAAGATGCCTCTCATCACTAGTAAGCATGATATCTACATACTTCAATAATTGTTTCTTCCTTTGGTGCAAGACTTTTCTCTACGTCTTCTTTCATTCTTCTCAACATCATAGGTTTGAGGAGTGCTTGCAGCTTCTTCACTTGGTCTTCAGATTCCAGCTTCCCAAAATCTTGTAGGAACGTTTCTTGCGAGGCAAACTGAGTTGGTTCCAAGAAGTTGAGGAGAGAGAACAATTCTGTTACATTGTTCTGCAATGGTGTTCCTGAGAGCAGCACTCTATGCTCCATGTGCATAAGTCGTAGACCTTCTAACAGCTTACAATTCTGCAGTGATGAAGCAATAAAATTAGTATACATAAAAAATGGGAAAATGTCAAAATATCATACAGATAAAACTCCATTCTCAGAAATGGTGAAAATGAATGACATAAAACTGATATTGTCTGTTAATTGTATACTAACCCTGTTCTTCAGTCTGTGTGCCTCATCAATGATACAACAACGCCAGTGGATCTCTTTCAGCTCAAGGCAATCTGATATAATAACTTCAAAAGTAGTAATAAGGACATTGAACTTGTAAAGATTTTGTATTCGCTGACCCTTCTCATCCTTGTAGTACATCTCATACTCGAGAATCATGTTACGACTTGCTTGCCTGTAACACGAAAGTCAATAAGTATCCAACTAGAATGTAAAAGAATCTTCATATAAAAAGTACCTTACAAGAGAACTTTATTCTCATTAGGCTCATTGCAATGTGAAATACTTTATAGGCCAAACAGAAGTCCTGTATTTGAAGCTGAATTTAGAAATACACATGAAAACTAGCTAAAATCATATTAGTTTAAAATCCACTTCTTATAAAGATAAAAGTGCATCTAGAAAAATGGACAAAAAATGCTTATTTGTTTAAACTGGTAATGATGCAAAAAATATCTTGATTAACTTACGATCCATGGTAAACAATGATATTGAGATCGGTCCAACTTTCAAACTCTCGCTGCCAATTAGGGATTGTGGAAAGAGGTGCAATAATCAGGTACGGTCCACGTATCCCATACTTGTAGCATGCGTCAATAAACGACAGTGACTGGATAGTCTTTCCCAGACCCATCTCATCAGCCAGGATGCAGTTATGTCTGTGAATTACAAAGTAAAATCATCTTTTTGTATAATTTCTTTAAAAATTTGATATCTATACTCATTATTAAAAACTAAGCACTAAGAAATCAAACGTCACAAGAAAAACTTACGAGTTGTAGTAAGAGAAGTTCAGCCAGTTAAGGCCTTCAAGCTGATACTCCCGAAGTGAATTATTATTTTTGTATAAAGGCGATTCTTCCAATTTCTTCCATTCACTTGGCTTTGGTCGCTTCTTAATTTTCCAATCACCCTTTGGAGGAGGGTCTTTATATGACATGAAAGCTTTAATCTGAAAAGACAAGAGTGAAATGGATACTATACTTTAGGGTTTGCATTACTGCATAGCAAAAAGCACAATTTCCTTAAAACAAGTTGCCCCTACCCCCCTGAATAAACACAAAATCCTAACTGCATAATACAACTGATAAAAAGAGTTTATCAGATCTTTTTACATGAAACCATATTAGCTTTGATATCATGCAACATGAGAACATGTCTTACTTTCAGAGGGTCTACTTCATCTTCTAATTCCCAAGTGGAATCTTCATAAGGAAGAGCCTTCCACTTGATTAAGTAATGCTTGATTTCCTTTCCAGTGGTTGGGTCATTTGTGGATGTTAAATCTAGTATTCTGTCCACTTCTGTATAATCAGGGTTAAAAGCCTCTTCTTCCAACTGAAAAGACATAACATTCCATTACAAACATATATAATACATAAAAGTACCGAGTAAAGCCTCATATACGTTAGCAAATGATTCATCAAGGCAAACCTTGACATGAAACCTGAACACAGCAACACCAAAGCAAATGCACAAGTTACCTTCTATAAGAAGCAGATTCTTGGGTATTTTCTACAGATCTATTTATAAGAAATCTTTGAATATACAATTACATTTTGAAATATAAATGATCATGAGAGATGGTAAATAATCTGAGGTTATACTGAGTCTCAACAAAGGTTGTCAATAAGCAAACAATATGTTGCATAAAATAATACTTACAAAGTCCATAACATTCTGGCTCATGGCTCTCTTCTGCTTGTAGCGTTTAATTTTACCATTAATGCGTTTGTCCCCTTTGAAGAGTTCTTCTTCTGTGCGCCACTCACAGTGCAAGTAAGAGAAGGACCGGTATTTCACAAAGAATTCTTCAACCTCAATCTTCTTTGGTGGACCTTTGGACTTTTTCTCCTTCTTTTTCTTCTTCTCTTCCACATCCCCCTCCTTCTTCTCTTTCTCATCACCCTCCTCCTTCTCTTTCTCATCACCCTCCTTCTCTTTCTCATCACCCTCCTTCTTCTCTTTCTCATCACCCTCGTGTTGTTCTTCTGCAATAAAGACATGAGTAATGAATGGCAAATATTGTTGTGTGCGAATGCAAATACAGTGTGTTCAATTCAGTACGCATACAAATATCTATTTCTATTAGCATAAAAACTGTCATGACAAAGTAACACAAACCCTCTTCCTTTTCTTTTTCATCCTCAGTGTCACTTTCAATTTCTCTTGTGCCCATCCGCATACCAAGAATAAACTGTACAACCATGGTATCTTCTAGGTTTGGATCCTGTCAAAGGAAATTTTATTATTTCATGGTTAAAAGAAACAGTTTTGATAATGGTACTTATTCTTAGTAATGATAGATTATTCTGCTTCAGATTATGGTATGCAAATACACTGAATTTGATAGAAACATGGAAATGTATCCACTTATATTTCTGCATCAAGTCTACATCCTACCAAACAAATTTATATAAACTATATGCATCTGTACATCTATAAACTGAAAATGTATTACCCAAAAATGTTGGGCATCAGCAATGTATTACTCCACATACAGGGAAATGTCAGCCTTTACCCACATTTTCTATTTCTTATTCTCTCTGAATGTCAATCATCTTGCTGAGAAGGTACTGCAAAGGCTGAGGGGGAGGGTAGAGGGTTATTGTATGAGGATGGGGAAGAGAAGGCAATGGTGGTGGGTTGAAGGAAAGTGGTCTAGGGCAGGGGGTGGGGAGTAGTGGGCAATCATTATTTAGAGTAGGGGGTGGGAGATGGAAGGTGATACAAGGTGTCAGATAATTGGTTAATAGGTTTCACAAGGATTGACCTGCTTGGATACTCAGTTGCATGATGTGGATTGACCGTATTGGCTGAATGCCTATAAAAAGTATGACACCAACTTTTTTCTCAATATTATTACATAGTGGAAGCCATGTCCTGGTGTCAACATCCTGGATACACAGTTGAATTTGGTCTTCATTCCCAAAACGATAACAAATGCTGAGAATCTTCAGGCATTTTAGGCTGCCGTCATGCCATGCAATATAACCTGACTAACAGGGCAAGGACTGACATGAATGTGAGGAGGTATACATGTGCCTTCAAAGTGTACATGAAGTAGGACAGTAGAGATGTATGAATGCTGATACAGGCTGTTGTCAACCTGATGTCAAGGGTGCCCCTTTTGGATGAGGGGTACAATTTGGGATCACCACCCACTTTCTTCTGCTACTGTTCAGTTGAGAAGGATAAACAAAGTCAGCATGTGAATCACAAAAGCACGACAACTAGTATGCTAGCACTGATATGGATGGATAAAACGTAAGTAAAACTGCTATTATATTCCATCACAGTGATATGGTAAAGTTACTGCCTAACAGGCAAGGGGAGTTCAGCATCAAGCCTGCAATTGTTAACCCATTAACAGCGGTATATTTTGAAGTCGAATATAAAAGATTCCGGGTGGCTACAAAATCGGTGGGCAGAGCTGCCGCGGCCCGCTGCTGCGTCGGACTGTGAACCCTGATACAGCTTTACACTGGCGGGACTCCCAGTAATGTTTATTTTTTTCGGGTGTCTCATATGTGGGAAACCCGTCGTTAGTGGGTTAAATACAAAATTGGCATGATCAGCCCAGTTGTATCCAGTACTAGGCAATCAAACAAGTGGTAATACTGGTTTCATAACTTTTAGATATGCCAGGTGTTAATATGTACATCATCACTGGGAGCTCAGTGGTATAATGACGCTAATAGATTTCCAGCTGTAATTTATTGCTGAGCTTTAGGTGTTGCTGTTGCAGCAGCAGAGGAGGAATCTCCAAGCGTCTGCCAGCCTGCTTTCTTTCTATAAGCATCAGTGGTACCTGAGGACCACATACTTGCCCTCAACCAAGGAAAGTACTATCAGCACTACAGCAGTACAAAAAGCAAGGAGCCACATACATATTAAAGATATGTATTAATTTTTTTTTCTTTTATGCACTTGAATCCAATCTTTTTTTATTTGAGGGTCGAGTGATGTGAACTTGCTGTCAAGAATTTGGCAGAAGGCCTGTGAGATGGGAATGACTCACCACGAATGCACAAAGCTCTTGGAGAGTGATTAGA